GGCTTGAGGTCGTCTGATACAAGCGGCCTAGGAGATGGTGTGGGCTTTTGTTTTTGGCGTGCTAAATTTGGGCCCAAACACTAACTCAAAAAAAAATTGAGATATTTAGTCATATACCCATTCTTATCACTAAAACTATAAATAAACCCTACACTATTTAATTTCTATAAACAAACCCAAAAAATGCCCAAAAAATGATAGCTGATCCTATTGAATTTAATTTTGATTATTAAATTACTTTGATACCCTATTGAGTGTTTTGGGCTTTTTTATGAAATTTTGGGGTTGAGTTTGTTTTAATAAATTAATGACAGTTTTGTAATTTAAAAGAAGTTAAAAGCCTTTTTGTTATGTTATTAATGGGTTTTGGGTGTGTTTCTAAAATCCATTTTATACAGAATTTTTTTATAATTTGGACTCCTACATTGGGTATATTAATGAATGTCCAAAAAAATTCCCCTCTGTTAATTTCAAGTTTTAATCTTAACCACACATAGAATAACAACACTTGATTCGTAAAAGAGGTCAGTTGGATCACGGGTTGACCCGGAAAGCACCATAACCGTACCCGGCAGGAATAAGGGAATGAGAGCCTCCACAATCTCGGTGATATATAATGTCGTCGTTGTGAAACATTTCGGGTTTTTAGGGTTGTAGTCCGAAGACATCTCAAACTCACACTGCACTTTACGAAGCATGACTGCCCAAACTCAAGAAGAGCAGCTCGCTGCCCAACTCGAACAGAAAAAAATTCATGTAATCTCTCTCTCTCTCTCACGTTACATGTTTGTTCACAGTTTATTAACGGTTTCAATTGAGTAGAGGCTTGTGATATGTGATAGTTCTCTGGATTGGCTTATGCCTTCTGGGTGTTCTTTTATTTATTGTTTCGGAATATAGATATTGCCTGGATTTGTTTTTTTGGGTATAATATTTGGTTTATGGAGAAAATTATCTGATCTAGAAAATGATTTGGAAAGATTTTATGGTTGGAATGTGATTTTATTTGTTATATTTTGCGTTTTAGCTGCTATGATGCTGAATTTCCGATAAATATTTCCAATGGATCGATGAATGCGAAACACATTTCTACGTAGTGAACTTAACTAGAGACCTAAAAGGGTTTAATTTTTATGTAATATTATTTCCTTGTGATCAGCCTTTAGAATTAGTTTTGTATCCATTTTAGAGGGGACGTGATCCAGTTTACCTTTCTTTTATTTATTTATTATGTTTTAGTTATGTAGTAGCTATTGGGGTTGCTTGGAAACCTTTCCTTACAGCTTGGAGAAATAGATATACTGCTGACCTTTGAGTTTTGATTTTTAGTTTCACTTGTATCATTGTTTCTTCTTTAATGCTTTGGTTGGTGAAGGTTGTCATTTTTGGTTATCAGCTTGGTGATTCTTAATCAGCCTTCCATATCACACTGCATCAGCCAATTGCAAAAATGTGAACTGAAATTTGACTTTATATGATTTGCTTATGACTAAATGAAGACGACTGAGGTTTGAATCAATGGGGTGTGAGAAGAAGGGTCAAGGGAGAACAACTAGAACTGTCTGATGAATCAGATGATGTGAGGAGCTTCTGTTCTTATTTCTCTAGCGCTTGAGGTGAACTCTTGTTATGAGTTTGATATTGCATGGGTGGCTTCAGACCTTCGTTTGGTTGGGAGGTCTATAATCAATTTTTGCCCAGCCAAAGAAAGAGAACCTAATTGAGGACATAGGTTTTGTAAGGGTTCAGTCATTCACATAGATCGGCATATGGTTACACCTAACATTGGTGTTAATATTAGTAGGTCAAAATGTGGCATTATGTAGATAAATTTTAAGAATTGAGGAATGGGATGATCATATTTTTGAACCTCAAAATGCTGCATTAAAACTGCAGGGATTTAGTTTTTTTTTTTGTTCCCTTAGAAATTTGGCCTCTCAAATTGAGGAATCATGGAAGTGTGGGTTTTATTAGGTGAAATAAAGAAGCATTTTGGGAAGTGAACACTTCTGTGTTTAATCAGCTGCCCATTAAGAACTTGGTTTGGATAATCGAGATTAGTCAATCTCTGATTGTATCTTATTGAACTTTCAAACTTTGCTCATTACAAGACATTTTACCCATTAACTTGAGTATGTTACCTCAGTTGATCCCTTCAAGCAGATAGCATGTTTATTTAGCATTTTCATATTTTGTCCAGATTAAGACAATCTTGTTGGCTGAATTAGTGGCCTACTATGGTGAAGTCAATCTTGAACTGTAAAATATTTCACAGTAGATCACTAGTCTAAGTTGGTATTTTCTATTAGTGGGAGAAAGAATGTGATGCTCAATCCACTCAATACCCATTCGACTTGGCTTATCGTGATTTCCTATTGACTAGTCTCAGAGGTTCATAAAGTTATATGTTTTACTTGTTTGGGTACTAATTTGTCATGTTTATGTGCAATATATGACAGTGTTTTAGTTATGTCCTTTCCTACTATAGTTGTTAACCTTGTGAATGTGATGCTCAATCCACTCAATACCCATTCGACTTGGCTTATCGTGATTTCCTATTGACTAGTCTCAGAGGTTCATAAAGTTATATGTTTTACTTGTTTGGGTACTAATTTGTCATGTTTATGGGCAATATATGACAGTGTTTTAGTTATGTCCTTTCCTACTATAGTTGTTAACCTTGCGTTGATGTTTAGTGGTGGAGAATAGCGAATATATTCTTTGCTAGAGTTATCATTCAATACATTATCTAGGATGCTTCACCTTTTCTTTATTGGGCATGAAAGTTTGAGTGGCATTTTGTGTAGGATGATGAGCCCGTAGTCGAGGACGAAGATGATGAAGATGACGATGATGAAGAAGATGATGACAAGGATGACGATGATGTGGAAGGTAAAGCGCACATTGAAAATGTTAATTTTTGTTTTTTGTTTAACCTTTTTATTTTATTTTAAATTTAAGCTTCTCGGCATGCGCTTTTCGCACGCGAAAGGCGTTTTCTGCTACCAAGATGGACATACACATAACTGTCTCATAACATTACCCTTTCTTTCCAATTTATACTCCCTCATTTATATATTTCTTTTGAAAGATTGTTTTTTCGTTATGCTCGCATTCATTTATTGCAGCATTCGTATTAAATATTTTTTTTATTAGTTTGACAATGAATTTAGGAACAAAATGTACATAATCTAAGTAATGCGGACATAGATGTTTGATCCTGAAGTATCTGACATTTTTTCTTATTGTCGCCAATATGTAATAAAAAATTCCTACGCTTTAAACGTGTCTATACTATTGTACTATTCACCTAACCCCTTATGAATAAAACATCGAAGTTTCACGGAAAGATAAGATAAAATTTCTAGTGCCAGAAAAAATAATAATAATAAATAAAGGGAATCAATCTGAACAAGGAAATCACAGAGACAACTAGAATTCCAAAATCAAACATCACATAGAGTTTGTAAGTGAAATGAAATTGCAGATAAATGAGATACCTGATCTTCGTTGTGTCATCTAGAAATGAAAGATGACATGATTGTACTGAAAGTTGGAGTTTTTCTTGTCGGTTTATACTCTCAAATGAATAGTTAAACCGAGAAAAATGACTGAAGGCCATTCATTGGTTTTTGTCCTTTTCAACAGATTTCAACAGATTTCTTTCTCCCATTTTTGTCCTTTTCAAATGGTAACAGTTCTACTTTAATAATTTTACTAGCCTACTTTAATAACTTTGTTTAATTTAAAACATTGCCTTTACTATATTATTCCTCATTGATTAAGTTGTATTATTTTGGAATTCTAATTAGCAAAGGATATTTCTTGGTATTTTGAAAGTTACACCAAACTCTGCCTCTGCCTTTATATATATAGATTAGGTAGAAAACTTTTTAGGCAATCTGAGCAGCATATTTGAATTTAAGTATTAATTTTATTATGTTTTTGATAAAAAAAAATATTAGTTTGATTAGGGGATTGAATAATCTTTCCATTAACATAAGTAGAAGCCATGGGTAAAAGGTTGTGTTGCTGTCTTCAATATACCATGCATTGTTTTTTTCTCTTCGTTTAGCTTGGCCTCTCTCTTGTTCGGGTTATGATTTTCTTTCTGGGCAGAAATATGCCCATAATTATCTGGTTGTGTGACTGAAAATTTAAAAAATTAAAGATATGAGAGTGTTGAATTTTTGGTAAAATTTTTCAACTGAATGGTTTGGTTTAGCCGAAGAGCCCACCATGAGACGATAATTCTGGCTCTGGTCCTTGCTGCTATAAAAAATGGGGGTTGGATGGGTTGGAGGGATTGAATAATTCTGGCTCTGATATAATTCTGGCCCTGATACATTATATCTTGTATAGTCAATGTAAATATGGGTATAAACTTTTGTCTGAATGTCGCTGGCAGGACAAGGAGATGCAAGTGGTAGGTCTAAGCAGAGCAGAAGTGAAAAGAAGAGTCGCAAGGCAATGTTGAAACTTGGAATGAAGCCAATACCAGGTGTCAGCCGTGTGACTGTCAAGAAGAGCAAGAATGTTGGTGTTGATTTGTTGCATTTTTTCTTTCTTTTTTGTTTTGATTGCAACGTCTTGGCTTATATGAGATTTTGTTCTTGCAGATTCTGTTTGTTATCTCAAAGCCAGATGTATTTAAGAGCCCCGCATCTGATACGTATGTCATTTTTGGGGAAGCAAAGATTGAAGATTTAAGCTCACAACTTCAAACTCAGGCTGCGGAGCAGTTCAAGGCTCCTAATCTAAATAGTGTGACAGCAAACCCTGAGCCATCAACATTGGCTCAAGATGATGAAGATATAGATGAAACTGGTGTGGAACCCAAGGACATAGAGTTGGTGATGACACAAGCTGGGGTTTCAAGACCAAGAGCTGTTAAAGCACTCAAAGCAGCAGATGGAGACATTGTTTCTGCCATTATGGAATTAACAAACTGAGCCACCTTCTCGGCGAAACTTTACATCTGATGAGTTGTATTTTTTTTGGGCCCCCAGTGCTGTCTACTTGAGAATTTGAGATTGAAATTTCGAATGTCTTTGTTTCTTTAATCCTTGTACTAGTATGATATAACTCTGATGGTTATGATGTATGGTTTGGATGTCTTTGCATGTAGTGCATTGCACCTCATCATTTATACAATATCATCTTGCATATCAGTTGCTCAGCATGCTTATAATTAGTGGTGCTACATATATCCCATTCTTGTGGTAGATAGTACTTTTGGTGTGATATATGAAATACCAGGGTTGGGGGTTATTATCTAGACTTGGGATTTCTTGTACCCAATTACCTTGTGCCCTCCCAGTCTCCTATCTACCGTTTTGACATCTGTCCACATACGGCTCGTTTGGGAGAGATTATAGATAGCCTGACAATCACTTTGCTATTCTCCATATAATGATTTAAGTGATTTTATGAAAAAGCAGCTTGTTTGGGTGTGATTTTGGAGAGAATCACTTCCAAGCAGATCATTATTGATTAATTGATCAATTTATGTTTTTTATTTTATTTTTATAAATATAGATGGACCACGTCACCTATCCAAGGGAGTCTCAAGTGTGGATGGGTGACATGATCCACCAGCCAGACCCAAGAGTTTCTACGAATAGGGGCCAGAAGCCGGCTTCAGTGAATCCTTGCCTCGGCCTCTGTTTTAGTGAGCGAGCTAGCTTACTAATTTAGTAGCCTAGACAACCATGTGTTGGATGATCATCATCCCTGAAACTTGCATTGAAAGCGAAAGCCCTGATATTCTGCAGAGTTGGTGGAAACATGATTTTAATTTCAGTCACTACATTTTGAGCTTGAAGAGCCCTCTGCTTTTGCATTTGTGAAGATGCAGATTTATTAAATACTTGAGGATGAATGTAGAACTGGATTTTGTGCTTGAACAAGATAGACCGCCATCGTCTTCCAAATTCATGTATTGAGCACTGATAATATTTTAAGGAGGTAAAAGATAAAGTGTCCCCTGTATCTGAGATTATTGAATTGTTTTTCCTACGGTGGAAATTGGTAAAAGCATGAGTCCATAACAAGCATATTTCCTCCACAGCAAGTTAGCAGCCTTATGCTTTCTTGTAAAGGGTAATAAAATATTGCCAAAATGTATATCTAAAGGATAATCTCTTGAAGACATAAAATCATTCCATGGATCGCTCTCTGCCCTCACTTCTGAAGGTTCAATTACTTGTGTTTCCAAGGCTTCACCAGCACTTACATCAGACGGTTTTGCAGCATTACCGTCGGCTACCTCCGTCTTTGCCTCCTCATCTTCCAAACTACCCCATCTTCCTCCGAGGGCCATTGCCATCATCTCGTATATCTTGTTTCCCAATTCAGCTGGGCTCTCTTGGCATCTGTACTGTCAGGGGCGTTCTTGCAAGCAGCCTGCAGTAGAAAACAACTGTCAAACCCAGAGAATTTTTTTTGTTGCCAAGCTTTAGGGAGGGGGAGTAAAGCATTGGTTTGGGTTCCTCAAGATTGCACACTACCAAGTTTCGAACCCGGGTGCCGTGTGGGGGTGGGGGGAAGGGGACCACTACCACTTCAGAAATTGAAGAGAAGTGAGATACTTTTAGACTACCTGTAATTTTTTAGTCTGTGTTCAGAAAATTTAAGACCCAATGAGAGAATGTTGTAGAAGTTGAGGTTCTCAGTTGCTTCTGGATTTTTGTAGTATTTGTGGTGCAGAAATCCCAGCGATTTTTTCCTAATCGTTTTAAGACTGACACGTGGCATTCTATATCACTTGTGTTGTTATTTATCTCTTTTGCGCTTCCTTTTACTTCTGGTCATTAACTTTATGTCTCCAAGTTGAAATTAGATTGAGTAGTTGATCCCTCACTTACGCAAGAAAGTTACTAGTTTTACAAGCGTTAAATATTGGGAGTTTCACTAAAACACCCAAAATGGGGCTGAAATTATAAAAAAACCCAACATCCAAAACACTTTATAAACACACCCAAAATCCATCATTACACACACTCAAAACCCATTTATAAACACAACCAAAAAATATACAATTGTTGATTTTGGGGTTGATTTTGGGTGTGTTTCTATGTTTAAATAGTGTGTGGGTTTTTTTATAAATACATGTCTAGAATTGGTTTTGTGATAAATCATGGATTTATTCTATTTACAAATCTCTCTCTATTTTCAAGTCAAGCATGTCTAATTTGTGCAATATTTCACACAATATATATATTATTTGGAGTTTTTGTGAAATATGTATTATTCATGGAACATGAGAACTTCAGTGACGGGGTATCCAAACGATAAATGTACCAGACGGGGACATAGGGCAATGAGGCCAATAGGGGTCACGTGCTGGGTACAATTTGTTAAGGATAACCAAGATATGAAGTAGTGATATGATATGATTTGGATTGTGTATCTTTTTATTATATTTTCTAGAGTGTGTAAAATGACATTGCTTGACTGACATATTACATAATCTACTCACTGAGCGGTGGTTTGCTCATCCCTCACCTATTTTGTTTTTTAGATCAATTAGCGGGCAAGACAAAGCCGAAACCAAAGAAGTTGGATTAGTTTAGAGTGATAAACTTTTATTTATATCTTGTACCTTTGTAAGATTATTATTATTTTTTTATATAAATATAATGGTAATGTATTTTAACCAATTTTCAGTCCTTTTATTTATTCCTTTCAATTCACGCACCCTGATTCGGGAGTATTCTTTATTCTCGAATCGGGTTGTGACATTCCCCTACTGCACTACCACCAAAGTCGGCAGGACAGATACCTCAATATCTTTCTGAACCAACTTTTCCAAGAATCGAGCACTTTTCAGACTGTCTGCTGCCAAGTAATAGATTGCATTCTGGTTCTTAGGCATGTTCTCAACATAATCATCTAAGCTAATCAGTTATTCCTCACTTTTTGAAGAGTAGAACTGCAACAAGGGGGTTATGTGCTTGTGATTTCCTGAGTCCTCGATGCATCCTAACTTTAGAAACCTGCCAAAGTTCTCCCATAATTTCTTGTAATCCTGGGATCAAGTAATACCATTTTCCAAGTTAATAGCAATTTTCAGCCTTTCAGGTGGAATCGAAGAGTAAACACAAGCTTAATTGCTGCCACCAACGTCTCTACACTCTCAGAGATCTCTTGAATCATGTCAAATGTTTTCCGCATGAGTTGCTTTCTCATAATCCTTACCTGAAAATAGTAGATAGATAGAGACTAAGAAATAATACAATACAACCTGATACAAATATCTAAGCACATAAAAAGAACAAAGAACAAATATTAACTGCTACAGAGATGTCCACAAATTTTAAGAGTAATAGCATTCCCTTCACAAAATGCATAAAGATAGTAGAAAAACTAGGGCTTACAATTCGACTTTCTTGAAGAATCTCTTGAGAAACGTTTAGAGGAAGATCATTCGAATCCACCACACCCTTAAAAAAGCTCAGGTGTCGAGGAAACTGCAAAAAGAATAATTCAATGTATTACATGTTCTAATCAAAACAACGAACTAAATGGAAGCTCAAAGTCACATGATTTCCAATATATCAAAACTTACAAGTTCACCATCAAAATCATCTGAGATAAATATACGTTTCACATACAAACGTATATTCTTTGTTTTTGCATTGACAACATCCTCGTTGTTAAGAGGCCCCATTCCAGGAATATAAAGAACACTCCTGAACTCCACCTCACCCTGTGCAGATTTCAAAGTTAAACTCCAAATCTGCTACATTTTCTACCTCAACCAAATTATTAAAACAAAACACAAGAAGACAAAGGGAGAGAGAGACCATTTTGGTACCTCAGTGGTGAAGTGAGTGTATGCAACTGGATCCAAGAGCTCACTACAAGTTTTCTTGTAAAATTCATGGCACTCATCTTTTCAACTTCCTTTGGATTCCGCATCTGCACAAGAACAAAACAAAATTAATTTTAAAAAAGGCTAATAAAATATATAACAAGAAAATACATGCACAATAGGCAAACGGACCATGCAGAATCTAAAATACATTTATCTTAGTAGGAAAGCCCAACTTGACCATACGCTTTGTTTCATTGGCAAATTCCCAATCCCAAAAATTCTCAGTTTTTGTCTTATTTTTCATTTCACCCTGGTAACAATCAAAGTAACTTATTACACTGTAAAAGTTACAGAGAAAAAACTACATTTCCCACCATTAGGAATTTCTATGTCTCTGGCTTCGGTTCTTCCTCATTTTCCACCTGCCAAAAGTTTCCACTCAGTGAGGATTCACAAAACTGCTAATTGCTTCATCATATGAACAACAGATACTTCTTAATCATATAACTGTAAGGTATAGAAGAAATGTAGCCTCAATGATTCGTTTGCAATAATCAACCGATTTTGATAAAAGTTTGCACCTCAGAGAGTCACATTTTGATAACAATACTTTTCTGATTATCACCTATAATGTACACTTGACATGCACCTTCAACTAAGAAAGAAGTAACAGTCCAGGAAAAGATGAATCACATGCAGAAATCCAATTCTATTAATCCCTTCAAAACTTGCCCCTTGCCATATAGAGCGAACGAACGGGTATGACAAGCAGAAAATGAAGTCCTCACCTCAACAGTCCTTGATTTTTCTTGCCATGTAAAGATTGGGGAAGGAAACAAACTGTGAGTAATTCTTCACCAAACCCTGGATCTGGGGCAGATCTGAGAATTCATACTTGTCATCCGGCTGCAAGGAGAGATATAACTTTGAGATTGTATAAGACATCAGAATAAATTGAAAAATAAGCAATGGACTGTCCTGACAAAAGATAATGACTTTAATGTGTCAACATCTAGCAATAGCTGGACATGACTTCAATGCCCAATAAACGAAAAGTCACATGCAAAATGACCAAATCCCATGAAAAGAGAAATGAAGTAGCAGTTATGGTACCCTTAAATAGAGGGTGATCTGTGTTCCATGGCGTATGAGATTTTCAGGATCAGTTTCTTCCCTAATTACATAAGAGAGCTATTGCCTGCATCTCCAAGCAGAGAGGGGGTTAGCCACACTCAAAAATCTCAACTTGTCCAAAGCATGACTAGCATTACTTGAACCGGAAAGAAAAATACAGTCAACCTATGGGCCAAATAATAAGGCGCATGGAAAACCCATC